TGAGCAACATGAAGCAAAATCTTCCCCTGTACCAGTGGCACCGCCACAAGTACAGTGCAAGGAAGTAACTAGCAATAAAACTGCTGTACCAGAAAACGTGCAACAAAATACCGCAGTGAATACAGCATCTAGCAATACTGTAAATAGACGCAATAGTAACGTTATACGTGAGCCTGATGATAGAATGTTGCAGCATTTACTAGCATATCGTCAGTGCGAAAACTGGAAGCGTGAAATGCATGTCATATTGCGTGATTAAAGCCACAGTATTATGAAGCTGCATAAGTTAAAGCAGAAATATGAAAATCGTGGTTATTCGCAATATGAAGTTGAAAAGTTTAATCGTTTCAGCAGAGAGCATGATGAACCGATGTTTACCGATCTGTATTACCATACAGTAGAACGGCGCCGAGAACTAAAATCATCGTTAAAACATTACATATTGCAATGCCCGAAAAACTGAAAATTCCGTTAAAGCAGTTTTGGCGACAACCAGGTTTAGTTGTTCGGAAGCAATTATTTAAAGCATTTGATGCTGAGCCGAATTTTTTAGCACCACCGCAAGTAAGATCATTACGCCCTAAAATGAATATTAAAAAGCAAGTCAGTTTTAAAAGAGCTACGCAGGTTAAAGCTTAAAACCGCAATAGTCCAGCGTCTGCCATTAAATCCCGAAAAATTAATTTAAAACCAATACGTAAAAAGGGCGTACTGCCGCTGTATAAGCCGTTAATATTGCAGCCGTATGAATGGCCGATTACGAAAAAAAATCGTGCTAAGAAAGAGGTTGATGAAACTATTTTTTACAAAACCCATCCGTGCGATTCGAATGACGAGCAGTGTACGAGTACAGATAATAACGAAGCAAGAAATCACAATAATGTCAGCAGCAGTCAACCACCGGAGAAATGTACGAGCACTAATGTAAATATTACGGTAGCAGTGGATAACAATAGCACAGATACTGAAGCATTTACTAATAATATTACAGCAATAGAAGAACCTGAAATTAAAGAGAAATTTTGCATTAGAGCAATAAACGCATACGCATCAGATTCGTTCATTTTACCCGCTAACCAAGTAACTTGGACGCTAAGCCGAAATACGGCCAAGAACTTAAAACTGAAATGTTTATGTTCTCAGCTAATCGCGCATTATATTCTAAAGCAAGACTAGTACCAATAGACGGAATAGTTAAGCCGGAAAATAGAGCATTTGATATCCAGATTGCTAAATACTGTCATGGGTAGTGCTACCTATATCCTATAATCTACAATATGGGGAAACATGGGGTGTCCCTAAATAATAGCTTTTATTCATAAAAAGGGATAAATGGGAGAAAAGTACATAAAATGGATAAATCAAGATCAGAGACAATGATATTCCAGTAGAAAATCCATTAACAGGGGCACTTCCATAGCTAATCACCATCATGGGCGGTTACAGTATACACCGTGACAATACAGTAATCAAAAGCGCATTATTAAAAAAGCACATTAATCGGCATTAACGAAACGTACGAAGAGGTCAGTGGTCCGTTGGTTTTGGCAACTAGCATTAAAGAACGTACACCGTAAGAAGTACAAGAAATTAATATCGCAATATCGCAAGCAAATCGCAAAGCAATATCGCAAATGAATTTTTATGAGGGTTTAACACCTGAAGAGCGCAAAGAATGGGAAGAATTATTTCTGCAATATGGAAATGTTTTTCCCACAAAAAGCCGCATGTTTAATACCGTAGATACGTCGGTAAAGCATTATATTGATACGGGCGACGCCCGTCCGATAAAAAGCCAGCCTCATCGTACGAGTTTGCGACGTCGTCAACTTACACGGCAGCATGTTGATGAAATGTTTGCAATGGGAATTATCCGACCAAGCAGTAGTGACTGGAGTTTTCCAGTCGTACTTGCAAGCAAGCGTAATGCAGACGGTAGCATTGGCACACGTTTTTGTGTGAATTACATCAAATTAAATAACGTGACTAATAAGAGTAACTACCCTCTGCCTAATCCAGATGAGGTTCTAAGCAATGTCGCAGGTTATAGCATTTACTTTTACGTTTGATTGTCAGTCGGGATTTTAACAAATCCCGATGGCAGAAGACAGCATTGAAAAAACAGCATTCGTGACACAAGACGGCGTGTGAAAATTCACCAGCATGCCGTTCGGTATCTGCAATGGATCTGCCACATTCCAGGCTGCCATTGACAAGGCATTGATTAAAATAAGGCATTTAAACATTTTTGCATATTTAGACGATATAATCGTCCCAGCGAAAACATTGGCTGAAGCTAAACTAAAAATACAAGCATTATTTAAGTGTCTAGAAGAAGCAGGATTTACTGTGAAACCGAGTGAGTGTCATATCGCAAAGCCCGAGTTGCATTGCTTAGGGCATATCGTCTCTCAGCATGGAATAACTACAGATCCCGATAAAATAAAAGCACTAGAGCAATTCAAGCAACCTACTACTGAGAAAAAATTAAGGTCTTTTCTTGGATTGGCAAACTGTTATAGAGGTTTATTTAGCAATACGCGCATAAAACTAAGCATTAATACTCATTACTGGTAAAAGATGCCGATGTCAAGAGAGACTGGAACGCAAAGCACGCGTTGGAATTTGTTGAAATTAAAAATGCGTTGAGCAATGCGCCTTCTACTTGCTAAATTCGATTATACAAAGCCGATAACAATAGAATGCGACGGCAGTTATACTGGCATTGGAGCAATATTGCATCAGGACGATCATCCGATCGCCTATGCAAGCCGATTATTGCATGCAGCTAACTAGGCAATACCCCGGAGCTAGAATGCTTAGCTGTCATCTACGCAGTACGTAAGTTTAAATTGTATATTGATCATGCGCCGTTTACGGTGGAAACTGATCACCAAGCATTAGCAAATCTTTTTAGTCTGCATCTCACAAGCAAGGTTCAAACGGTCGTTTGGCGCGTCGGGCATTAGAGCTAGGTAGTTTAGATATTAACATTAAATATCGCCCAGGTAAAATGTGCGATATTAAACGCAGACGCATTAAGCAGAAATCCTGTTGACCCAGCCATCCCCGAAGATGACTGGGATGACCATTTTAGCATTTATGATATTCGCATGGTAAGCATTACTCAGCCGGAAGAGATGGCTGATGCAGAGCATGAAGACGGAAATGTCGAAAATAATTTTAAGTTTTTAAGAACCGAGCAATTGCGTGATCCGCAAATTGTAAAAGAAATTAATTCGTTGTAGGAAAAACAGGAATCTAGAGCAATAGTTGCAAAACCGCAGCATTGTGGAATGGTGTTCCGTATCGCATTGCAGTCGCAAATGATAAGTACGTGCGAAAGTTCGTCGTATTGAGGCATATGGTAAATGATTACATCCGCATTAATCATGACGTGCCGGCGTCTGGCCATCTAGGCAGACAAAGGACGTAAAATCAGATAAGCGCACGCTTTAACTTGGACAATATGGTCAGTGACATCGATATATATGTAAGCAGTTGTCTAAACTGCCAGTTGCGGAAATCGCAGTGTAAGCCACAACCAGGTAAACTTTTGCATGTTCCTGTTGGTGAACCGTTTTACCGCATGCAACTCGATATTAAAGGTTCGTTAAAGCAGTCAAAAAGCAAAAATAAATGCATTATCGTAGCAATAGATGAACTGACTAAATTTGTGATAGCGAAAGCAGTACCCTATGAAAAAGCAATAACAGTAGCGCAGTTTCTCATTTACGACGTTATTTTACCGTATGGTGCACCGCAAGTCCTTAATTCTAACAGAGGATCGCATTTTATGAATCAGATTATAAAAGCAGTAGCTAAATTAATAAAAATAAAGCACAATTTCGGTACCGCATACCACAGCAGTGGTCGAGGTCTCGTTGAGAGACAGATGCAGTGGATAGCGGATAGTTTATCCATGTATGCCCAAAAAGGCACCCAGGATCGCTGGAATGAGTTTCTTCCTTTTGTTGTTGCATCATATAACAGGACAGTGCATAAGACTACTAAGCATTCGCCATTTTACATGCTTTATGGAAGGGAGCAAACGTTGCCCATTACTAAGACTAATCTTAATGAGAATTACGCCTCTGTAGAAGAATATTTAGATCGTTTAAAGTGGAAATTAAATCGGGCGCATGAAATTGCCCGTATTTATATTCAGCAAGTTTACGAAGCATCAGCAGAGGTGTACAACAGTAAGAAAGTCGATGGCGATTTACGCGTCGGCGATTATGTACTGTTACGCGAAGCAGAGCAATCGAAAGATAAAAATAAATCATTACGTAGCCGCTATGACGGCCCGTATGTGATTGAGGATATTCCTCGTCCAAATACAGCAATAATTAAATTATTATCTGATCTTTGCAATATCCAGGAAGTAGCATATCAGCGCAAGAAACCATATCACGGTAAAGAATCTGGCGAAAAGATTATTTTCAAGCCGTCGGAAATGCTTAATTACAGCAATAAAGACAGATAAAAGCAGTGATAGCAATAATAATGAACCTAATACATCTACTGAAAGCAAGTTTTTGAAAGTTAAAATTGAGCGCAATAAGCAGTCAGTACCTACTACTGTACTGAAAAAAGCACAGTACTTGTATTTGTACCGTAATCAAATAAGCAGATAATGGCTATCAAATAAGCAGATAATACAGAGCAGTTGTTAAAATAAACTGACTATCATGGTACAGAGCATTACTGAATTAACTTGATAATTAACGCATTAGATTGTAACAGTACTTGTACTTACGAGTACATAGTACTGTGGAGCATTAATTTTAGTTTAACTTCAAAATATGAGTAGATAAAGTCTCCGCATGTAAACCGTAGCACTTTTCGTAGTTACGAGTACTTCTAATGTCCCGTACTTTTATTGAAATATGCAGTAAATTTAACTTAAATTAAATTGCAATTAATTGCAGTTGTACAAAGATGAAAGTACAACATGTTGAACTCAGCAATTTCAAGCAATAACGCATTTGTTTTTGTAGTTATGGCAGACCAGCAATGTCCAAACTGTGCGCGTACAGGACGTTTGTGTGTGACTTGCATCATGAAACAGGCGCCGAACGTACAGCAGCGCGTGTTCATGTTGCACTTGGAAGCACTGCTGGGAAATTACCAGGCATTCCAGTGTCTCCTGTTGCGCGCCCACTGGGAGCATGTCATCGTCAACCGCGATTACTACGAGCAGATTCAACTCGCAGTTGACCACTTCCGCATTACAAAGGAGGGCTGAAGTAAGGCGCAGCATGTGCCCGCCTGGGACGAGATGAAGGCGCAAGAGCACCAGCATCAGGAGCTCATGGCGCAAGCCCGACAGCAGTTGAACGCCGAACAGCGCCCTCCAGTCCAACATGATCAGTCAGCCGTAGCAATCCCAGCCGCAGTAGCTCAATAGCAGTGGAATACCGTTGGCCGTCAGCCGTTTGGTGCACGCCACTTCCCTGATCGCTCAGCGGTAACTATCATTAATAAACCTCGTAATGACCGCACTTTATTAATTAAACCAAAGCATGCTATTAAAAATAATAAGCAATGCCTCAGAATCAGCATCAGCGCCGCGTCGACGTACCGGCAGCACAGCCGCGCCAGTAAAGCACTCGCATGCCTAATTTACCGCCTGCAGATTGACCGCGCAGATCGGATTCTGTTGACGTTGGGTTTTGATAAGCATGACCTGCGTTAATTGATGAAAAGCATGCTGACCCGTACATTGAGCTCTCTGGACCGCTTTCTGGCGTATTCCGGTTTGTTGGTGGAGATGCAGTCTGAAAAGTATAACTACCATGATGATCGTCCGAAGAAGGGATAACTCGATATCCGGTATGGTTATGTTCGCAGGAGTGGCATGTCTTCAGCATTAAATCCTGAGAACTTTGAACACAGACAATTGATATCGAAGCATTGAGCCAACTGGTGTATCATCCGCGTAAAAGCGTGATCCCGTACTTGTTCAATTTTGTCAGTCCAGATGCGAACGGTGCAAACCTGTTGTATGCCGGTGGTGTAGCAATATTTACGGATGAGATGTTGGTCATGATGAAGGAAGAGCAAGATTTCCGTAACATGGACCGCCGTAAGCAGCAGATAATGGTGAATTATGTGCGTTTGTACTTTGGCGCATTGTTGGGACATCATGGATGTCATAAGAAATTGACCGACGCTCCGCATGAAGACAGCGCTTTCTTCCACGAAGCTGTAGTCAATTTGGGACCGACATAAAACGTGCAAGAGAAGATTAATCGCATTCGCCTCGCATTGGAAACCGGCGCGGATAGAGTTGCGGGAAAGCAGGTTGAGCAGTTGGTAGCGAATCCGCATGATGCCGTTGAGGACGTACTCACTCGGCTGCAAAAGCTGAAGGACAAGTACGAGCCGCAAGGTGGCCATCCGCAGCAAGTCGCACATCACCAGCCACAACACCAGCCTGTGTTCAACTTGAACCCGCAGGGAAACGCTGCACTGTTGCAAGGTATCGTCCCGGCAGGTGAGAAGGCCGCAATGGACGGAGTCGAAGACTCAAGTAAATCAGATGAACAAAGCAGTAGTAACAGCAATATTATTAACAATTCGCATAAAAGCAGTACTTTAGGTGCAGTTGTTTCTGAACAGATGGTGGATAGCGTGGCGCATTTGGATTTCCATGGAGCAGAAACCATGGAGCATTCGGGAAAACACAAGTAGTTTGAATTAGCATGTACCGAAATTCTCAGCAATATTATGTTGTTAATTAGCAATATTTTCTGTAAGCAATATTTCTTCTGAATTCCGCAATAGACTTCATTTGTCAGGATTTCTTCGATGGACAATAGACTGGCAGCCTTATAGGCGCAGTCTGGATGTGGATTACGGACTGACACGCAGCCTCATAGGAGGTGTCGGAATGAATGGACATTTAACGGTGGAACTGGATTTTTTATAATTTGATTACATTCCTGTTTAACCAAAGTTTAACAGATCTCTATGGATATTTCTTTAGTTTATTGAGCTTAACTCACAATTTCATTTATTTATTTTTATTAAACAGCGGATCAGTGACTGGTTAGTTGTGTGAGCGACAGTGTAACAGTGGATTTTGAAGCAGTAAAATTCTTCAGTCGCAGTGTCGAAAATTTCCGCATTAACGTTGTATAGCATTAACCATGCAAAGCAATACAAATTTTAACGCAATACGGACTAGCTCCGCGGCAGACCCGGTATAGCTAGTGTAAACTGCAGCACATGCACTGGAAACAGGCATGGCAAGGCGCCTGGCTAATCACCGGTTTGGCCGTCGCAATAGCCTCGGAGGACCTCGGATCGCCACCAGTGGCATGTTAGGGATGACGCTAGTACGTCACCATCTCCCGTGCATATGGAGTACTTATTAGCATTAACACGTACGTCTTATCATTACCTGTTGCACCGTATTAACCGTGTTCAGCACTTGGCTCGATAGCCAAGACAGGTACAACGCAGTACACAGAAGATCAGTATTACACTGTTGCGATAACACTGAGCTAGGTAGTTCTGATCCGCTGGGTGTTTGTCAGAGAACTTTAGTTGAGAAGTTATGATCGCACAACTCTGGAATTACTTATGATTACGGTTTTGACTAATAAAAGCGTATCGGAAGGTGGACGGTGTTTCTCTCGTAGATTTTCATAGAAAATCGTTCATCTTCCTAGCCTGCCCCGTGGCATGGCTATCAGTAGCAAAAGTCGACGTAGACTCACTGTGCGATGAAACAATGGTTGTCAACATAGGCAACCAAGCCACGCAGGTTACATATTATCATGTTTCCAGACGAATGGGGTACATCCATCCGGACGGCGATTGAGTTACGTTGTTTCTGTAAATATCTATAGTTGTTACTGTTTATTGGAAATTCGGCAGTCGTAAAACCGATTTTTTAAATATATAAGTAGCGAGCTGAAGGGTGATTTATGGGGTGGAGGTGGGCGTTTTAGGACGCTTCTATCTACCCGTCTAAGAAATTAACCAACGGAAAACTGTTATTGTTAACCAACTGTTATTTTTGAAAACGTTTTTCAAGCATTTGAATGATTGAAAAGCTATCCTTTACGGGTTAGCAGAAGAGTCTTGCGCGTTTAGTGTATCCGACCAGTTTTGGACCGCCACCACGGACTGGGATTGGCAAAATTTACGGCAAAAGTTTTTATCGGCCCCTAAACGCTTGATCGGTTTAATGACCAAAACGCCCGCCGGACATCTTGGTCAGCCGGAAGTTTAGGTCGGTTACAGCATTTAATGCGCGCTTGTGACTTACAGGCGCGCAAAACTACAACACGTGTTTACTTTCGCGCGTCTTCCCTGGATCTTTGCAACGGCTCAGACGTATGACTGAATATGACAAGCCTGCATTTGCTGTCTGTTGATCTTTTTTGTTCATTTAGGCCCCAGATTGGAAGACTGGTCACGCTCTTTCGCACTCGATTCGGTTAATTTTTTGGTTGATTTACAGCCCTTGTAGGGCAGTCTTGCAATGGTTAAATAAATATTTATTTGTTGACACCTGACCGATGATACTTAATCTTTGCAAAAACTGCACAACCTTCCTCAGATGCCTATTACGATATGTCACCGCACTTGATTGGCATCTCTGGTGCTGACGTGGTGCGCTTTACGTACCGTGAAAAGTAGCGCGAAACCCCTGCTGGATCCGTGCTCTCTGAAAGTGTTCGATTTCTTCCAATCCGCTTATGTAATAACATAGAAATTTCAGAAAAAAAAATCTAAAAATGGAAATAAAAACTTTTTAAGTAAAAATTTTTGCGGAAAAGATAAATTAACGATTTAAGTAAGCTTTTTGCGTTTAAAACAGAAGTCTACGGCAAACCACTCCATAGACGACTATGTTAAACGCGAAAAGCTTCAATCGTCAACATCTTCTTTCCGCGGAAACGTTTTCCTTGTAAATTTTCAGCAAACCGTTTCATTCTTAGATTTTTTTTTGCATTTTTTGAGTTATAATTGGAGTAGATTAGATGAAATTGAACACTTTCGAAAACCGCCGAACCTGCACGGGTTGCGCGCTACACAAGACGGGCCGAGAGCCAACCTGGAGATGTCAAAGCAAGTGCATTGACATAGTACTAACAGGCATCTCTTCCTCCCTTGGCTGCCCTGGGCTATGCTTAACTGAAATAATAAAATGCAAACCGTTCCAACATTCGAACTGATTTTCCGTCTGCCTACGTATTGTTTCTCATCTGTACGGCCTACCTGTTTATACAAGCCCGGTCCGAAACCTTTCGACCGCTTTAGCGCAAAGCATACGAATCGCAGACAATAACGCATAATATGCATACGGATCGTAATATAGATACGAGGACATTTGGGTGCTGTGAACATACCCTGCACGATTAGGCTGCGATGAACAGCCGAAGAAATTTATAGCCGTTTGCATTCAGACTGTGATATCAGTAGCGTTGCGAGCTACGGCTAACCAGCTGTTCATCGCAGCCTAATCGTGCAGGGTATGTTCACAGCATCCAAATGTCCTCGTATACGACACTAAAACGAGTAAACAAACCAGTAACCAGTAAACCAAACCAGTAACCAAAAAAAACTAGTAACCAAAACAAACCAGTAACCAGGAACCAGTAAACCAATAAACGCGTACAGTAAAACCTCTCGTTACATACACTTCTTTATTAAATACACTTCTCTATAGGGTTGTCATCCCACCAAGTTTTTGGCGGTGGGATGGGATGGGAATGTGAACAGGAAGTGATGTGATTGGTGGGATAGATTACTAATTTACTAATTAATTTCCTACATATTTTTCCCAGCAAAATTTTTATTCTACCTGGTTCCAGCAAAGAAGTCTCTTGAAAAAAATGTTAGATAGTTATTAAACTGACGCGACTATTAAGCTACAACAACAGACCAAACCCAAAAATTGCGCGCAACGCGATCTGATGGTTTTCGCAATCATTTTCGGCGACGGGCTCGTCTAGCAGTTCCTCGAAATCGCTTGCAAAATCCATGAATATGGTGACGTCGTCTGTTTGACTCCCAGATACTTCGCCAACCTCCAGATCTTCTTCGGCAACGACGACAGGGTCCGGGAGCAAAGATACTGTAGTGACCTTTCGCTCAATATGTGTTTTCGCAGCCAGATCCATTCGCCGCTCGCGTATTATGTTGAGCTTTACTTTAGCAAGGTCGTTAGTCTTTCGAATGTCGAGCCGGTTTCTCGGCTTCGTGAGAATGGTACCCATGGAGCTCCAAATTCGCTCTAGTCCAGCAGCGTGAGGGCAAGCATCATAGAGGAGCAGTGCTAGGTTGCTGAGCTCTTTATAGACCGTGCCGCTAATCACCCAGAATGGACGGATGTCTTGTCCGGCGGCGATTTCTTCATCAAACGGTGTCGATTTCGACAAATAAGCTGCAATAGAAGCCGACAAAATTCCCCCACTGTTTGGGAACAGCTGCTTATAAAGCTCGTTGCTCCATTGCCTGATAATTTGGTAGTTGACCACCGAAGGGTTACAGTGCAGGGCTTCAATCTTAAATGCCGGGTGCAGAACAGTGGACAATATCCGCAGCTTTGCGTCGAAAAACGTGACCAGCGAGACTCCATTCTTTCCAACAAGTACGATCTCGATTCCGGGCAAGTGAGGCTCGCAAACTCATGTACAAACTCGCATTTTCTGATTCTGTAGCTTGACTGCTCTACCACAAAATTTGTTAGAAATGTTGTTAGAAATGTATGCACTGCCGATGCGCAGTGCGCTCAGGATCGGTACCCGGATTTTGACCTTTCATTTTTAACAATACAAATTCTTCCCATCACATCACCGTCCCATCACTCATCACATTTTTTCATCACGCACGCAGTTATTCGGCATGATGGGACTGTGAGCAGGAAAACGGCGTGATTGTGAAATTGTGTGACGACATGATGACAACCCTACTTCTCTATAGCATATGTAAGGAACCTGTAAGGAACCGATGACAACCTGTAAGGAACCGAATTGGCTCGCATGTATAACATAGGGGGGATTCTCTTTTTAACATTCGCCTCTTTATAAGCCTTACATACACTTTCCGCGGAACCGAATGCAATTTAACTAGTGTAGACAACCTCTGAACAACATTCAGCTCCGGTTAAATACAGTTGCATACAGGTAGCCGGATGCAATCTGATGTTTTCTTAACATCCTGAACTAATATGGAGCAACATTAACGTTGTTCGTGTAAATGGTAATTACTGTGCAGAAGTATATCTCCACAGAATATTTTTATTTCACCAGTCTTTCAAGTACTAGCCATACTTTACGATGAATTCAAAAGAAGATTGCATTTTTTATGGTACTGGTGTGGTGTGTATGACAAATTTGTGATGCACTACCGATTCTTGCTACTAATTAATGTTGCATTTATGATACATGTACTGCAACGCCCTCCCCCCACCCCAAATTATAGCAGCACCCCTGGGGGGAATTTCCCTTTATAAAAAACACCCCGGTATGACATACGAAACCGATGGAACCGTGCCTGTATTTTAAAGAGAGGTTTTACTGTATTGGCAAACACATTTAATCAAGTAATCACCATATTAGATCACAAGTGCTAAGAATAACTCATAGGTCCTAAACATACCATAATTTTAAAATGCACAGATGTCACATATACAATACACCTGCAAGGCTGCAACTCATTACGTTGGATACCTAAATTTATTTATATATATAATATAAATAAATATATATTTTATATTAAATTGCTGACCCCGTATCTTGAAAATCCCGCTTATGGCAGTCGAAAGGTTTATTACCGGGCATGTACTACTTATGATGCCGTGATTATCAATGTACAGAGCCTCATCTTTATGCTGTGTGAAATACCGAGTATTCGAGAACTGCTTTCGCGATTAAATATTATAAAGGTCACACTAAAGTACATTACCGGAATCAGAGTGGGAGCACATTTACCGTCTGAGCTGTTTGTTCGATCTTGCCAGAGATAATCATTGGGTGGCTCGGGCTGCACCCACTTCGCTGCATTAGCAAGCTCATAAAATCTGCGTAAACGGTGTCTTAGGCTGATAGTCAGGGCGGTAACAGCAAAGCCATGATCCGTACAGTAAAGCGCGGAGCAAGTATGCACGCACAGAATTCGACAGCGGTGATTTCACCAACAACACGGGAGAATGTAGTGTTTTGTTCTGAATAATGCTCAATCGCGATATTCAGCTTCATTAGAGCTGCCGTTGCTAACACTGCATGCAGTAACAATCCCATGTTTGAAGATGCACTCTTCAAGCTCAGCAGGTTTTTGAAAATCGAGAAGTAGGGGATGCATAACATTCAGTCGCAGAAACGTTTGACTGTACAGCACTTCGTGTCGGAGAATTTTTGTGGCCTAAGGAAATAATAAATATTCAACAAAATTTAGCAACACTCAATCCTAGCTGACCTCACTGAAGCCAGTATTTTCGACTGCCCTACGGCTAAAACCGAAACAAGGCCGAAAGCACGATATCATCGGATAGAAAACATACCTAAGTAGTGTCACGGGTACGACTGGTTGAAGGACAGTTTGTATGGACAGTCATACTGATTTGTGAGATGCGGTTTGCAACGGAAGGAAGTGGCCAGAAAGCATCAGCCAACTAGTAAAGTGTTGTGTACTTTGAACTTTCATAAAACAATTCATAAAATGTTGACTCATGGTTTTTCTTTGAGTGAGTGCTTTTGGGTTGAAGGCGTGTTCCCTTATCTTTCATATTTTGAATTAGAAATGAGTGTTAAGCGCTTGTGAGAAAAGAACTTCTTGTAAATGAATCGGTACAATCAGCTAGTGCTTTGGAATGTCTCGATTTGGATGGTGTTTTTGGGAATGTCTTCCTAGCTCTGATGTTTTTACAGTATTTAAATAATTAATTTTTATTTTATATAAATTGGTTAATTTTATATAAAGGTTATCGTGAGCAGAACGATTGGATTAGCGTATGTAGCCGGCAGAAAGCCGGACGGGTGGATAGTGCATCTTCAGTGAAATCGCATTCACCAATCTGCCGACCTTCGGCAGATGGGTGGACGAGCCGTCCACTTTTCTGCCGAATCATATCCACCTTTCTGCCGGTGCACATTTACCTTTTTCTAAAGGTCATCCGCCTTTCTGCCGAACCAAAGGATCGGCGTCTATTGATGTGACAATGAGGGCCCAGGGGCGAATTTAAGGAGGGGGCACAGGGGCACCTGCCCCCTCCGGAATTTTTGGAAAAGTGGGTACTTCAAAAAACTACAAGGGGGAGTATTGCTAGACAAATTTTACCGGCTTTGGAAAAAGCTGCGGAATCTGCTATTTTTAATTGAATTTCTAGTGGTTTGATCAGTCATACCGTTTGTTAGCTTCGCGCTCCTCGCGAAAATGCCTCTTTGTTGCACTTCACCAATTCAGATTGCGACTTAAAATCACTGCGCGGAATTTAGGTGTACAATTCTCTGTCTTCCACGAGGCGCGCATTATCAGGGAACCCAGCTTGTTCTTCTATTACCAAACCATTTTTTTTACCATTTCCTATCAAATGTCTTGCAATCCCTGGTATAAAAACGTGCATCGGCTTCGCGCGAAAATTAACTGTTTTCCTGAACTGTAGATGATATTGCATTGTTGTTGTGCCATTTAACATCCTTTGCAGGAAATTTTTGCGGCAGGTTCAGCGAACAGTGACAGGTTCCTAGGTGCGGTATACGAGGGATATCGGTCGTAGCGTATAAGAAAGTGTAGCTTCTGTTGTTGGTCTTCGAAATCCGTGTGCAAACAAAAGGCGGGCGGTCGTAGAGTGCGGAATGCCTAGCAAAGAACGGTTGACAGGCCGGCGACAGATATGATATATACTCAACATTAACTACAGCAACGTGACCTTTAGAAATACAAGCGGTAACCATATTCTTTAGGGTAGGAATAAAACCTGGTGTTGTCCAAAAAAGCCCCTGTGTATGACTGCAGACTTATTAGAAGCTTTGTGAGAAGTATGTTACATTTTACAAGAAACCGAAAAGCGTAGAAGGATAAGCAGTAGACTGTTTTTGTCGTATTTAGTTACCCTATCAATAGTTTCTGTGTTATCAGACATACATATGCGTTCTGGCTGAGTGAGTCACGAAAAAACTGATGCGTTATAGACTTTTGCATATCGGTTCACAAAAGTCACGTTCGATGAGGACATGCTAGCGTACACACAGTACTTTTTTATCTTGATCAGTACAACTATCTGTGCATCAACGACAAATTTATCGTCAGTACACGAAAATTGTCATCGATAAGGAGAAATACAGAGAGTGAGCCACCCACATTGGCACACTTTTGGTAGGAAATTATTTGTGACTTTTGGACTCAAGTCCTGTTAAATCCGCTGATGCAGTTTTTTCCCTTAGCTCTCTGTGAACGGAAAACAACTAATTTTCCATTAAGATTTTGCGCACACGTGGCATAAAGTGACCACAAGTGTCCGCGACCGGCGAAAAAAACGCAGACAAAACGTTTCACTTTGTATTTTTGTTTTTAAATGATTATTAAATGAAGCAAGCATGTTTTTGGTCAGATTCAGTTTTTAATTTTAGAAGATTTTAAGGGCTATATAAAAAGTATAACGTTGTGTGAAAACCTTTTTCAGGATCCCGAGGGAAAAAAACAAAATTTTAAAAAAATTCGGGATTTACACTTTCAATGAAGCGGCTGGCTTTTGCAGTGGGAAACTCGTGGCAAAAAAACTGCCGATGCCGATTTCGCTTTGATATAAACAAATAATTATTTAGACAGGCTTGTAGAAGATATTCTATGAAATTCCGGACGAATGGACAATTTGTTAGAGAATGGCAGATGTTTTCTGGACTTCCGGTCAGTTTTGGGAGCCGACGTCCAGAAAAACTCAACCATGGCTTTGATCAAAACCGAATTATACTTGTCCTAAAGAGCATTGATTCTTTATCATTTTATTGCATTTCGTATGTACTGATCGGTAAAGGGGGATTTTTAGGAATTTGTTTTGCGAAAGGCATTCCAGTTTTGAAACGCACTGTTTTACTACCCCGCTCCAGGTTTTCTTCCTGTATTTTGAAAGGCATCCTTTGCTAAGCTCGGATAAATTTAACAAGTACAAAATACCCCAGGCTATCGTGTAATGTTTTTGAAAAAGTTGTTGTAGACGAAAGGAAGTTTTAAAAAATTAGTTTGTGCAGTGTGCCAATGTGGGTTGCTCACCCTCTGTATGTCGAAAATAGCAGTTCAAGTTGAATTCACGCGAATACATCGCGTAATGCGAATACGTTCACGCGTAATGCGCGCGCGTTAACAGTGAGCATAAAATTAAGTAATGATAAACGTTTACATTCAAATTTCTTTCTTCGCCCAGTTGGTTGTTGTGCTGGTACATGTTAACTGTGAAAATTCTTTTTATAATTATATATGTCTTATTAAGTTTTGTTACATGGCTAAACGTGGCGTGGTCAAAACGCTTTCGCCACTGATTTTTTTGCGACACAAAAATATCAGGGAAACTGTTCAATCTTTTTTTTAAAATTCCAAGCATCTGTGAAGGTACATCTTGTTTAATTATTTGGATGAAATAAATAACCTACAAAAAATCGACTTTGTCAGAAAGCAGCAAATGCGATTGCTTGTCCAACACGACTGGCAAATTGTGGTCAGTAAGCGCACCGCGTGTGCCAAGCTAACAAGACCGTAATTATAATTAATTGGGTAGAAGGATATGAATACATACGTATATACCTATACGTATATACGTATATACATACGTATAGGAATGCATACGTATGCCTACTTTAAATAATTATAACGCCGCCATAAATCGTCATAGTGTACATGCATGTACGCGTAC